AAACAGGCTAAGTAACCTTGAAATGAATGCTCTACCCTGTGGAATGATTCTCATAGCGAAATTTAGAGAACCCAACAAGGATTGCATCTCCTTCCTATTGCATGAGCCTCCTCCTAAGTAAAGGTCGATAGCTGCCAGGATGCGCTCAATCTTTTCTCTAGGTAGGCTAGCTTGCATGTGTACAGAGTCCAGTACCACCCCCAAGAAGTGGATGATAGTATCTGGACCCTCAGTCTTGGTAGTTGAAATAGGCACTCCTAGTTGTGTAAACAGTTGTGTGATAGATTGGAGGCTACTGGGAGGTACTAGGTTACTTTCTATGGTCAGGAAATCGTCCAGGTAATGGATAACTGTGGGACATTTACAGATGTTAAGCAGCATCCAGCACAACGTCTCCGCGAAGATATCGAAAATCCTGGGGCTGCTTTTTTGAGCCAAACGTGAGACGCGTGAAGAAGTAATATGAACTTCGCCACTTAACACCATGTAAATGCCATAGGGATGGGTGGATAGGGAGCAGCTTAAAAGCGTTGGCAATATCAGTTTTACTCAGCCATGCCCCTACCCCTGCTGAGAGTATGGCTGTGACTGCATGATCTATGGTGGCATACTGGAGGGAAAACTCCTCAGACGGGATTAGTGAATTTAGACTTGGGGTATGAGATGCATGGGGGGCGGACAGATCGAGAATTAATCTTTGTTTATTGGAGGATTTATTGGTGACCAGTCCTATGGGGTTTGTCCTCCAAACTGCAAAAGGCGGGGGGTTGAAAGGGCCTAATAAGAAACCTTGGTCAATTTCCTTCTGTAGGAGTAAGTCAATAGTGTTGGGTGCTGCCAAGGCTGTCTGCAAATTATTACATTCTAGGATCCCCGTGGGCATGTGAATAATACCCGTGTGAAACCCCATCTTAAACCCTGTCACCAAAAATCAACGAGATGTTGGGAAGGGTGATCCCGCAAAAGTTGTTTCAGTAGGGAGACATGAAGAGACGATAAGTACTGCTTAGGGTATAGTTTATTTGGGCACATTGCCTTGGAGTGAGCTCTGAAACATAGTGAGCAAACATGGAGAAGTCTGCAGGCACTGTAACCGCAGGAACCTGAGTTGAAATTGTTACAGACCTGCGATTTACCCCAAAACACTATGTTACGGCCTAGTTTATCTTTAAGCACCTTGCCAGGTCTCCCTGTGGGTACTACATTAGGAGGTGGAAAAACAGCGTTTACCTCTGGAGAATTAGGGCACAGATTAGCCATGTGAGAATTGGACGAGCAAATGGCACAAGCTGGGGTTTTTAGGCCGAAGTGCCGGCAAAAAAGCTCTGTATCCAGGACGCCCCAATCCGTTTGGTAATTGAACTGTGAAAGGGCTGCCGACGCCTTCGCGGAAAAGGCACGGTGGTAGTCGTAAAAAGACGTACCACCATACTTATGCCCCAAATCCACCAGCTTGTGGAGATACAGGTCCAATTCCTCCCTTCTATCCGGGTATACCGAGCATATAACATCTCTGTATATACCGAAAGCTAGTACGAATTCTGGAATTGATAGCTTCTGATTCAACCTGGGGTCTCTGGACTTCAATACCACTGACACATCACCGTATGCGTAGGTCTTATTCTCTAGGACATCTTGTGAGGCTATCAAAAGTGATACCAAATTGATATCTTTCCCTTCCAAGATGTCCTTCTTTGTTTTAGCAGGCACCATGTGTGCAGGGTTAATAATATGTGGGTCTTTTAACCTATTTTGTAAATTACCCAGTAGGGGGTCCAAATGGACCGAAGTGGCCGGATCCACTGCAGCAGCCAGTGACTTTTGCTGGCTATCTGCATCCATTTTGTCTAGCTTGTCAGTAATACGACCCAAAGAGGTCAGGACTGAGGACAGAATCGTATTCAGATCTGAAGATTGGGTGCCACTGGACCCTTCACCCGCCCCCGCGTTATCAGTCTGTGTGTTCAGCAATCTGTACAGTTCTGCTTTCCTAGCTGTAGCAGGGAAAGGAATATTTCTCTTCCTTAATTCGGCGTGATCCTGGGAATAGTCCATGCCCTGAGTGAGGCAGGGCTTGCGATGTCGTCACCCCGAGACGGCGTGACTGATCTAGCTGGTGTACTGGGTAAGGACTCAACTTCCCTTCCTTCCGGAGCTTGAGACATGCTACAACATAAAATAACATGTTACCTGGGGTGCTATCCAACTGGCTTATGATAACTAATGCCAAGCGGCGAAGAATTATTAAGTAACGTGACAGGTGAGGCCCTGCTAGTAGCCAAGCGGCCTTGAGAGGCACTATCTATGATTTGGCGCATGTGGGATACGTGGCCATTGGCATTATGGCAGGGTGGTGGCCTCTCTGTGACTTGTAAAGGCATAAGACAGAATGGGAGTGACAAGTGAGGCCCTCTCTATGCAACTAAGCGAGGCAGCTAGCTATGAAATGGGCCCGAGGGAATGCCGTACCTCCGAAATGAGGATGGGTGTTGGCCTCGCGGGACCACTAACGAAGGCATAAGAGGCCAGAAAAACTTAGCTAGTGGGTCCTATTTATTGTACGCCAATAAATCTGTACTAAGCCGAAAGGGAAGGTATGGGGAAAATAGTCAAAAAAAGATATGACGTACCTGATGAGCGGGTTGACAGCTATAATGAGGAAAAGGAGGTACAGACGATCTGTAGTCACCTACGAGAGTAATATATATTTGTACGGGCACAGAAATATAACCCCTAAGTCCCCTGCTATTCGGATACCTACCAGCAATATTGCCCTAGCAGAGGGCTGGGCACCAATTAACAAAGAGCAAGGATGCCTATACCTAAAATACAGAAAACACATATGAGGACCCTGGCGTAGGGTGACTGTTAAGTAGAAAACTCGAGTGAAAGGACATAAGTCCTGAGCAAGTTGTTAGAATAGCTGCCCACCGTGGGAATGCAGAAAATACTGAAAGAGTTTAAAAGACATCTTAAGTGCTAATCATGCATATATATAAATTCCCAATACCAAGATCCGTAGTCATTGTTAGGTTAGTAGCCTAATAATTGTAAAATACGTGCCCCATATAAAACGTATCTGCACACATTACTGATTGTAACCCCATATGCCAAACTTGCTTTAAATAACTGCAACTTTAAAATAGCATAAATGTCAGAACAGGTACAAGAATTCAAATCACAATTTTGGACACCAGAGGTCGCTCTGGTGCCTAGTGTATGCTTTAGGTAACAGCGTTGTAATGAATGAACACAAGAATAACAGTAACGTGAGAAATAAGCATAAGTGTGCTTATACTGTGACAAAATGTCAATACGTGATTAGGTTGTTGTATAACATTGTATTACACTAGTAATTTGTGAGCGTGTAGTATATTGACCCTTAGTGATGATGTAAAACGGCCGCGCCGCCAAATTTGCGACGGCCGTTTTAACTTACGATTTGCCGCGTGAAAATTTGCCCGCCGACTGCCCGACCTAGCGTGCACCAGCTCGTGGTATCCAGATGTAACGCTGGATGCCTCGGAGAAACTGCCCGACCTAACGAGCCTTCCATATATAGGCAATTGAAATAGTTGGCTGCACTCTCGGATTTCCTTAAAACATAACTTTTATTGAAATATTTAAGAGAAGATCAACGTTTCAGTCCCTCTTGTGGACTTTCATCAGGATCATGATGAAAGTCCACAAGAGGGACTGAAACATTGATCTTCTCTTAAATATTTCAATAAAAGTTATGTTTTA